TCCCCCATGATTGCTGAAGACAAAATGGGGGCATAAACAGATGTGGTGAAGACAGTGGATGGTGCTCAGCTACTAAAAGATATAGCATCTGAGGTCTTAAAGGATCGAAGTTAAGCAAGCGGCATCAAACAGTGAAGCAACAAGCCCACATCAAGAAGCACACCAGACGGTGAGATCATGAGGTGTCATCCGGACCAGGTACTAGGCATAAGAAGATTCATAACAAACAAACAAACGCATTGGTGAGAATGAGGGGGTTTGGAGTGGAGACTCAAAGCCCATCTGTGGACAGTGGAGCATCCTCCCACAGAGGGATCAATCAGGGTGCAGTAGAGCACCTATGGAATATGCAATATACCTCTGGTCCCATGAGACCTCCTCACCCCCCACTATCATGACCTCACTGCTGCTTCCCACTCTGGACTGGACTGGAGCGTGTGCATAGACAGGTGCAGCAAGAGATAAAGCTCAGGACACATGGAACTCAAAACAGGAATGGGAACAGTGACACCAAAAGGGTGGGGGGAGGGAGGAAGAGGAGCAGAGGAAGGGGGACCGATCACAATGAATGGCACAAACCACACACCCCTCCAGGGGGAAGTAACCCAGGGGGAAGAGAGACAGTGGTCAGGGTGAGATATTGAGGTAGTTAGTTTATTGTGCCAACCTGGCCAATAAACACATATGGGATCAATTGAAGGGCAGAGAGAGAAATGGCTCTGCGAACCTCGCCTTTCTTGTCTCTCGCTCTTTGATCATCAGACCAGTGTGTGGCTGCCTTGCTTGTCCTGTGCCTCAATTTACACATGCACAGACACACACACACACATCTATGAGGGGTTTCAAAAATTCGTGGAAAAGTAGAATCAAAAGATAATTGAATTGTTCCAGGAACTTTGGGCTCAATAGAAAGTAAATGTCAAGAAAAGAATGATGGCAATATATGTACTAATACGTCTGATACAAGTGATGTATGGATTGTAACAAGAGCCCCCAATAAAATGATCTAAAGAAATGCACATGGAGTCCCTAGCCTACAGTTCATTGGGACGATCAGAAGCACTCCATACATGGCAGCTGTTCTGATCGCCATACACGGGGCTGGCCTGGGTGCAGAAACCCACCTGTTTGCAGAGAGAACAGAGAGAAAGCCTGGCCCTAGGCCAAGGGCTGCTGGCTTTGTCGTCATTCAAAATTGTCTTCAGGGATCTTCCACAGAACCTCAGCCCACAAGACAGAAAGCCCCACTTCCTATCCTTGCTGTTTTAACTCATCTCAGTCTGTAGCTGACTTCCCCACATGCACTTCCTGAGGGCTTTGGTATTTAAATGTGCACCCCCCCTCACTGCTGTTGATTCACACTCAGCCCTAGAGAACTGCCCCCATGAGCTTTATGAGCCTGTAACCGAACCCTGCTGCCTGTCTTTCTCCCAGAAGGCGGCTGGTGGTTTCAAACAGCCAAACTTTCCGTTGGCAGCCCAGCACCTAACCCCCAGTGCCACCAGGGTTCCTGAGTTTTTAAGTATGGGTGCAGCTCACTGAAGGTCTGAATGAAAGACCAGGGTGGACTTTAGGAGGACTTAGATGCCCTCTGTGGGTTTACAATTTCTACTCCCAGGTCGAGTGACTGAGTTCAGATCCCAGATTCTGAGAGACGATGGGTCAGGTCAAACACGGCTGCTGAGTACCTAGCAGGGACAGGTGTCTTACATGTAGCACCCCACAAACCAGCACACAGGCAGGCATTATCCCCATTTCACACATGGAGAGACAGACCAAGGAGATGCCACTGAATCCTCAAAAGTCACCAGGAGCTGGCATTTCCTTGTGGGTCCTTCGCACAAGCATTGAGGGGGTTGATCATGGGGAACAGCCCCAAGGGAGCACTGGGCGCTGCTCTCTGGATCCATGCTGCAAACCACGGGAGTTCTTTTCTCAGAGAGTGACATTTCATTCCCTGCACTTTTACCCCCAATTCAGGTGGTTTGAGGCTGTCAGCTTGGCAGTGCCCAGCAGTCAGTGACCTCGTGTTCAGTCTTGGAAAAGGTGGGTACCCACTGCCATCAAGAGTTGCCATCTCGGAACCCCTGCCTTCTACGCAATGTGAAAACAAAATCTTGTTATTGTTTCTTAAAAAACAAACAAACAAACAAACGGTCACCAGGAGCTGAGATTCAAGCTGAAGCCTGCCTGGTTCCCAAGCCCCTGCTCTTTCCACAGCCACCACAGTCGCCCCGCTACCCCCAATGCTGCAGGAGCCCACGCAGAGCCTGGGGCATGTTAGGAACAAGGGTGTAGTGCACAGCCATTGGGGCCCAAGAGATGAAGACAGTGAAATCATGGCCGGTCAAGAGGGAGGGAGTCTGGAACAGCGAGAGTCTTCACTGATTAGAGAGTCAAATCTGGTATCAACTTCCTCCCTTCTACTCCTTCCTCTTGACTGAACTCTGCCCTGGCCTCCTGCTCGGCTTCCTCTTTAGTTTTTGCTTCTTCTGTGGCACAAAGACTGAGCTTGCTGGTCTCATAAAGTTATAGTTTCAGAAACTCGCAGGGACAGTTCTACCCTGTCCTATAGGGTCTCAGTGAATTGGCATCAACTCTAAGGCAGTGAGTTTGGTTGGGATTTTTTTAGTGGTACATGCTAGTAACCTTCAGGAGCATTCCTTCAAGTCAGGGTAGCCCAGGCTCATGACGGCTGGGGATGCAGGGAATGGCGTAGCCAAGCCAGGGGACCGTGGGGGAGTCTCCAGTGGCGTCCAGGAACTTCTGCTGTGTCTCATGCACTCAGGGAAGTACCCTGAAGAAACTTGGGCATCTCCTTCCAGGCTGTGAGCCAGTGGAGAGCCCCAGGCATGTTGGAGGTTTCATTTTAGCATCAGCTGGACCTCATAAGCTTTTGGGGTGGGGGTGGGGAGGGGCAGACCTCTCACACAAGACTCCATTGTTCCAGGGAGCCTGGCAGGAATGTTGATCATTTCAGAAACCGAGCAGCCGCTGGCTCTCTCCCTCTGGGCCTCAGGGCTATCCTCCCTTCAGATGAGAATCCACAAAACGATTCCAGGCCAGCCCTCAGATACAGCCACTGGCTGGGGTGGAGCCCCAACTTTCATCTCGCTCAGGAGCCAGGCAGGTGTGGGATCAACAACTGGAAATCAGCCAGGTGGAAACCTGGAGCCACAACTCAGGATGTCACATGTCAAATAACTGAATTGGGTAGTCATTTGGAGAACAGTTCGTGCAAAACATATGCAGGAAATCTATACACAGTGTGAGAGGGTCCAATCCAAGGAGTCCGTTCCTTCGGTCCATGCTTGCCTCAGCTCCACCCTGCCACAGGTGCCAGGACCTTACTTCTGAAGCATTAGTACTCCCAGGACAGGCTCTGGAGAGGCTAGCTGGCACCCCCTACTATAGTGCCCCAGGCAATCCAACAGTCCTGGGGCTTCAAGGACACTGGGAAGCCCACCACATGTGCATGGCCCCTAAACTCTAAGACCATAGGGTAGTAGCTACCTGCCCCCACTCTGGCGTCAGATTGGTTTTAATCCTGCCTTTGCCAGGTATTAGCTGTGGGACCTTGGGCAAATTATTACTCATCTACAAATGAGATATGATAATAGTACCTATCTGAGTGGTTATGATATTTAAATGAGTTCATAGGGGTAGAGGTTTTGAAATATTACCTGGCCTGTAGTTAGCTGTTATAACATTATGCTTTTCATTTTAGGGTCCCTGTGGGGACTGTCACCGGTCTTTTATTCCCCCCACCTTATGTGCCCAGCTTCTGCAGCACCCTCCTCCCCACTGTCCAGGGCTGATGTGGCTCCTTGATGTTCAGTGGTTTGCAAGGCCTTGTTCCTATTTACATGGACCTATCACTCTGCTGCCCAATCCGTATCCGTGCTCCACAGGGTATCCACGGTCTGGGTTTTTGGAAACAGACCTCCAGGCCATTCTTCTGAGGTGTTTTGGGGGGAACTTGAGCTACCAAACTTTTGGTTATCACGCAGCACGTGCATGAATCTTTGCACTGCCACGTGCTGCTGCTGTTAGGTGCCGTCAAGTCAGTTCTGACTCATAACAACGCAAAGACATTTTTTCCACGAACATTTTGAAGCTTTCCTGTATGAGCGTATCTCAACCCTAAACCCATTGCCATTGAGTAGATTACAACTTGGTGATCCTACATAGAGTTTTTCAGATGATAAATCTCTATGGAAACAAACAGCTCACCTTTCTTCTGCAGAGTGGCTTGTGGGTTTGAACCACCCACCTTGCAGTTGGTAGCCCAAGGCCTAACCCACAGCACCACCAAAACACTCCTTTATCTATCTATCTATCTATCTATCTATCTATCTATCTATCTATCTATCTATCTATCTATCTATCTATCTATCTCTCTATCTATCATCTATCACTGACCTTACCATGAAAAAAGAAGTGATGTCTTTAGGAAAATGTCCCAGAATTCTTTGGCTCTAAAAAATAATTTAGTGTATTTTGTTTTCCTAATAAAATGAAATGTTAAGTAAAATCTGAGTCAAGTACAAAGAAAGGAATGCTGGTTCTTCAAGTCAGTAGGAGAACTCAGTCTGGCAGCCAGCACTCCATTATTCATCGGCTGAACTGCTAGGAGCGCTGTCCCCATCAGAGGAATGAGCAGAGCGGGAGAAAGGGGATGACAAGCAGACAATGAGAGAAAATCAATCCAGTTCCTCAAGGACAGCTATAAACAACATGCTTGGCATCTTATTATTTAATGGAAGAGGAGCTCTGCTACCTGCCTCCCCACTGCCCACACATACACGTTCAGCTCATTTCTCTGCCAAGGTACTTTTCCTGAGCAAAATCTTGGAATCACAGGCCTCCTTAGTGGGTCATTGACCCAGGCAAGAGTTAGTTCCGAAGATCCCCACCAATAGGCAAGGCAGGTAAAAATAATTTATTCCTTTCTCTGAGATGAAACTGAGCCCTCACCCCCACTTCCCATGACGGCTCACCGGGGCCTGCGGAAGGCCAGGCCGTACTGCTGACAAGCCAGCCCCACGGTGGGTGTGTAGACGATCGGCATGAACTTCTCCACGTCTGAGGTCAACACTCTGTAGAAGAGCTTCTCGTTCCGGTCTTGGAGTGTCATGAGGATGATGTACCTTGAAGAGGGGAGAGAGCAAAAGCTGACCACCTGTCAGTGAAGGGCTGGGTGTTGCTTTGCAGTTCACCAGGCTAAGACTAGGAAAAAAGGTCTGATGATATACTTCCCAAAATCAGCCAAGGAAAGGCCTGTGGAACACAATGATCTGATCCATCACCCATCACGGTGGAGGCACAGGACCAGGCAGAACTTCCTTCCACTGGGCACTGGGCTGACATGAGTGGGGGCCAACTCAGTAGGTGATAACAACAATTACAAATAGGTGACAGTCAAGGATTTAGAGTTCCCCTCCTGCTCAGTCACCTAAAGGGCACATTTACTGGCAAATTACCCATCTTCTCCAAGCATGGATTTCAACAATGTAATGCGGAGAATAATACCTGCATTGCACGGCTATTAGAGGGATTCACGATAGTTGTAGGCACCCCAAATCTGGACAGTAATTAACAATTATTGTCATACAAGGTGTAGGTACTCTCCTTAGTATTTTACATTCATTACCTCACATAAAACTTCCAATAACCTCTAGGGTAGGTATATAATTCTCATTATTTTATAGAGAAGGAGAAATTAAATAACTCACCAAGGTCTCATGGCAGAGATGGAAGGAACCCTGGTAGCATAGTGGGTTATGTGCTGGACTACTAACATCAAGGGTGGCAGTTCAAAACCACCCATCACTCCACAGGAGAAAGACGAGGCTTTCTACTACTGTAAAGAATTAGTCTTGGAAACCCACAGAGACAGTTCTACTCTACTCTCTCGGGTCTCCATGAGTCAGGCTCAGCTTGATGGCAGTTGAGTGTGACATTTTTTTGACTCTGGCTCTGTACTTCATGCTCTCAACCACTGTTCAAAACTCTTATGACTATGATAGGACTATCAGTGAATTCCAATAGAATAATAACATTCTGGGAGTGGAGTGATGTCATGGAAAATCCCTAGCATATGATTGGTGTGTGAGCTGGCCTTCCTACCACACAGGGCTGATGAGTCCTGCCATAAGCAGAGTTCTCAAGTGGCTGAGGATCAAAGGGTCACAGGAGGCATGCACCAAAAGAATCTTTCCTCACCTAGTCCCTGAAGACTGATAGCACTAAGCCATCTTCTTCAGCTTTCCTTATTCATTGTCCAACTTTCACATGTATGAGGGGACCGAGAATACCATGCCTTAGATTATTAGTCCTTAATTTAAACGGAGCCTTTAATTCAAACCCCTACACATGCAAGCACCTCTCGGAGAGACCATCCCGGGGTTGACATTCACATGGAATATAAGGGACTGCTGACAGCATCCTCTTCCTGGAGAACATGTGGGAGAGAGTGCAGAGGCAGCTGAGGCCCTCAGCATGAAGTAGGGTGGGGAGAGATGCTCCCACTGGGGAACACAGCTGTGCTGTTGTGGGATGAGCACTGGGCACGGCTCCAGAGCCAGGGGTTTGAAGTCCAGCTCTGTCATTTTCTAGGTGTGTGACTTGGGGAAGTCTTGTGGCCTCTTGGGCCTGGAGACTCTCTTTCTCCACCAAGGACACTGGCCTACGTCAGGGTCACCAGGATTCTCTGGCCCAGTAGTGTCTGTGCAGATTTCTTCCTGACGCTGAATTCAGTGGTAATTTGAAATTGGTTATGGTGGGAGTATTTACGCCATGGAGATCAGAAAATGGTACATACCAGGGCTTCCCAAAACATGCCCTAGAGAACCAGTTATTAGACATACACCAGCACACCATTGCCTAAGGGGAGCCCCCTTAGCATCACCCTAAGTACCTGCGGAAGTGAGGGGCTCCTGGGAATGAGCAAGCTCAAGTGCTTCAACAAGGCATCAAGGGCAAGAATCTAGCACTCCCTGCCCCCAAGCTGCAGAAGATCTGCCCAGAAAAGCAAGGTTCATTATACTTGAAAAAGCTGAAAGAGGAGGATTTCAAATATTAACTTTCAGAGTTTACAGTCATTCGGGCAGAGGATGCTGCTTCGGACTTTAATTCTCCTTCACAAGTTTGATGAAAGGAGAAAGGTCCTGGTCACCCCGGCTGGGGAACACCTCATGCAGTTGACTGGAATCGTTGTGCAAGTTTTGGTTTGGTCTTCAGGGAACTAAGGCTGGGCTCAGCCTGAGTGGGCTATACAAAAGGGAGAAAATTTTGGGCGTGGGCTGAAGCATAGCCTTAGAAGTAATGTGTGCAATGCCTTGAGCAGGGGTCCTCAAACTTTTTAAACAGGGGCCAGTTCACTGTCCCTCAGACCGTTGGAGGGCAGGGCTATAGTTTTAAAAAAAACGATGAACAAATTCCTAGGCGCACTGCACATATCTTATTTTGAAGTGAAAAAACAAAGTGGGGCAAAAGTACCCAGCGGGCCAGATAAATGTCCTCGGCGGGCCACGTGTGGCCTGCAGGCTGTAGTTTGAGGACCCCGGCCTTAGAGCTTTGAGAGTATAACACAGGGGACAGAGGTTTATTTGCCCACTTCCACTGATGTGCTACTGAGTTCTGGGCAGCCTCACCCTATGGATCGAATGTGTTGGCCATTAAACTTTTTGGATATATACAAATCAAAACTTAACTGCCATCAAGTTCATTCTGACTTATAGCAACCCTATAGAACAGAGTAGAACTGCCCCTTTGGGTTTCTAAGGCTATAAATCTTTGCAGGATCATCAAGACTCATCTTTCTCTTAGGAGTGTCTGGTGAGCTTGAACTACTGACCTTGAAGTTCAAAGTCCAACTATGCCACTGAGTCCTACTATGAATAGGGGATCCCTTATCTTTTCTGCATATGTCTGTTGAAGCCCATAGCAAGGAAGTATATAAGTAACTCTTAGAAAGTGTCTACTGTTCTATGCATGTCACAATAACTAATATCACAATAACTAACACACTCATTCCTCACAATAGCCCTATGTATTAGATACCACTGATACAGATGGGGACACCATGGTTCAGAGAAGTCAAGTAACTTTTGCCAACAAGTGGCAGAATGAGCACTCTCACTCAGTCAAGTACCACAGGCTCTGTTCCCCGTCCTGGCTGCAGCAAAGCCCAGTGACCTGTGGCCTGAATTCAAATCTCAGCTCAGCAAACTCAGATCTCTTCAGGAAAGGGAAAAGCCTTTCTTAGCGGAGCTGATACTATCGACCCTATGAGTCTCTATTTGACCCCTCTTGTGTATTTCCCCTGGGAAAAACTCAGAAAGGGATAGGAACTGTTAGGTGTACACCTCCAACACTTGACACAGCATGTCTTTCTCAACGCATTCCCTGTCCATTTCCCCCCTCTCTGAACGTTTCCATATTCCAAGGGTCAGGTACCACTTCCTTAACACACAGGTCTCCCTGCCTGTCCTCCATGTCTGCCCTCTGAGTGAAATGACCTCCCTGAACCCTGCTGCTGACTAATGAAGTCGTACCAGTCTTTCTAAGGCTGACTTCATGCCATCCTTTCCCAGATACAGCTGATGAAATTTTAATTTCTCCGGGACATAGGAACTGATCATGGTAAGCCATGTCCCCCAGGAAGGCCATCACTCCCTTCAGAAGGCAGGCCTGGGTCTGGGATTGCTTAAATCTCTCAGCCTGGGCTTTGCCAGCCAACTCTCTGTGGTCTACAGGCAATGGGTGGCTCCGCTCAGGGGCCGGGCAGAGAGAGAAGACTTCAGGCACTAACTTGTCCAGGTCACTCTGCTGCCGCTCGTAGGATCTCATGATCCGGAGGAGCTGGACATCCTGGCTCAGGAAGCAGGGAGGGATTAGGCCGTGGATTCCAAGCTGTATCCTTTCTTCAAGGGTAAAGGCCATACCCTGGGGAGAACAAGAAAGAAACACAGACACATAGATGTGCAGGAAACCAAGAAACAGATGAGGTTCTGTCTGTAGCTGGGCAGAGGACAGTGAGACGCAGGAGAACGGACTCGGGATTCAAATCCCACCTCTGCTATTTGAGTAGCTAGGTGATCCTGGTCCAGTTACTTTGCCTTTTCTGAGCCTTTATTTCTTCAGTTATCAGGGGAAAATACCTACACTGTCTTTAGTTGTTTTAAAAAAAGCCTTAATAGACATTATTTAGGAACGTTTTATATTTATATAGTTCACACAGCTCCCATCGACTCCTTTTCCTAGTTTCCCATACTGTTGACATCTACGGCATATTTGTTATAATGAATGAAGTGGTATTAATGAATTGTTATTAATGAAACTTCATACTTCAGCCAGCTTGTCATTTCACCTACTGTGCCTTTTGGTTGGAGAATGCCATCAGGAGACCATGTCACAATTCTGCTCGTGTTGTGCTATCAGTTTTTTCAGACTTGCCTTGTTTTTGCAGAGTAGATATTTAGTAGGCTATCATTATTTCTAGGCTATCATTAGATGGCAGAAAAAGGAAATTATGTGCATGCTATCCAACGGATATATACACATATATATTACAAGTAACCACCTCTATCTGTATTGATAAGCTAAACATACATTCATATTTTGCATCTCACACATGACAAATGATGTTGAAGCTCTCTGTAGATGCTCATTGGACATCTGTGTTGTATATCTGCTTTGGTTTCTGGTCAGCTATTTTTCCCATTTTAAAAATTGGTTTCTTTGTTTCCTTTCAGCCGAGCTTTCAGAATTCTTTGCATGCACTGAACACAGTCCCTTATCAGATATGTATGTTGTATACCTTTCTCCCAGTCTGTGCCTCCTCTTTCACATAAGAGAATTTGCTGGTTTGGACCAAAGAAAGAGGGGTGAGGAGAGCATATGGGGTCTAACTAGGATGGCATGGAACCTGCCTGCTGGACAGGTGCACAGCTAAGCCCCTAGGGCAGTGCTTCTCAACCTTCCTAATGCTGAGACCCTTCAATACAGTTCCTCATACTGTGGTAACCCCCCAACCATAAAATTATTTTTGTTGCTACTTCATAACTGTCATTTTGCTACTTTTATGAACCAGGTAACCCCTATGAAAGGGGTGTTCAAACCCCAAAGGGGTTGCAACCCAAAGGTTGAGAACCGCTGCCCTAAGGAGAGAGTGTTTGCTGTGGAAATTGCAAGAATGACTCTTGTGGCAGACTGAGAACTGGGAAGAGTGTGTAAGTGGCTAAATTATCCTCATATTTATGGATTCTGGTGGAGGAAGGCCTTCACTTTTGTGGGCTGGAGGTGAATCCCAGTCACATTCTCTAACTAAAGTTGTTCTCCACAATGTCCCTCCATAAAAATGGCAGTTTTAGGGTGCTGCTTGCAAGCACCCGGTTGCTACTGTGCACTTGAAGGCTCACTGCTTGAAGGCTGTCTGCCATCGAGAGTGACCAGATTCTCTAACCCCAAGTACAGCCCACACCCTTCAAGGGGGAGCAATCTGTGATCCTTATGTGTTAGAGGCACATCAGGAAGGGGACAGGCAAGGGACATGCATGTAACAAGATGGGTGAGTTCTAGAGTTATGATGGCGGCTTAACCTTGGTCCTCTGTGAGCTGGCTTGACCTCTGTGTCCCTTCCTGTTACGCATGTGTATGCTTGCAAGCCCAAGATTAGAGGAGCTGGCTGGAGAACACATTAGCTCTCTCCCTCTCTTGTTCCTGCCATCTGAAGAGGTAAGCCCTCGCATGCCTTGTCTGGATGTTTCTTTGCTTTATTCTTCAATCACACAACCACACCTTAGGACCCATTCAGTTGTGCAAGCTGGTCCCCTACATCCTCTCACACGGGACTTGTGAGGAGTGGGAACACAAGCTGGCCCCTCCGCATCCCAGGGTGAGAAGGCAGGTGCCACACAAACTCCAGGGTGCTCTACTGAGCTGAGGGCTGCTCAGGTGCTGCTGCTCTCCGGGAGACAACGTCCTCAGCTTTCCCAGGGAGAGTGCTGACAGCAGCAATGCTGCCACATCCCTGCCTGGTTCCAGGGTAGCAAAGAGCAGAGAGGAGAACCTAAACTCCACACAGGAAGGTGAAGAGGACTACAGATATGCTTTTGAGGCTGTAGCACATGCTAGTGATGACTGGGTTCATGCTCTGTCCTCAAGTATTCAGGGCTGGTGATACCTGGGGCAATTCTGGTGAGACCTTTATTCTTAACAAGCCCTGTGTAATGCAAGACACCCTCCCCCCCACCCTTCCCCCCCAACCCCCACCCCAAAGTGAAGATGGCTATGTGGATAAGAAGTCACCCCCTGCTATGAGGTATTGGTTCTGATTATGGGGTACCCAAGACTGCGAATCTTATGGGGGCAGACAGCCTCATCGTTCTCTGTGGTGCAGCTGGTGGGGTTGTGGTTAGCAACCCACGGCTTATCTCACTGCGACGTGAGACCTGAATGACGCTGATGGCAGGCTAGCTTTCTTGGAGCTCCTTGAGATGGAGAGAGCTTTGATAGGGTAAGGAGCATCAGCGCTTCCCTCACCTCATTCTACCACCAGCTGAAGCCATCCCATCGACAAACTCTCATCACATACAGAAATTAAAACCCACATACTGACCATTTACACTTTAGAGTTATTGCTATATCTACGTATAGTGCACTCTTACCAATGTCTGGCCTTACTCTATATTTCCCTTGCAATCACATTGTGAAGGAGGTCTTTTTTTTTCAAATCATTTTATTGGGGGCTCATACAACTCTTATCATAATCCATACATACATCAATTGTGTCAAGCACATTTGTACATTTATTGCCCTTTTCATTCTTAAAATATTTGCTCTCCACTTAAGCCCTTGGTATCAGCTCATTCCCCCCCTTCCCTCATGAACCCTTGATTTTTTTAAAATATCACTTTATTAGGGGCTCAT